TACTCTTAATTAAGAGCGGTTACAGAGATAAGGAAATTATGCACTCACATCTGGCGCTTCTATATGCGGCCCAAGATTGTGTGCAGGGAATTATGGGGGAATCCAGAGTCTGGATTTCATCAACGCAATATATTTACGATGGAAATTCCCCATCCTTAATAATGTGCTGCGTTTGAATAAAGATACTTCTGTCAAACGTGTTATTGGCGTAAAAATCAACATAAGGGTCAAGTAAAAAGTCCCAAATTGTGCGGCAAGCTCCCAGATAGCTTCCCACTCAACTACAATCGTTATAAAAGTAACAAGAAAACCACTCTCAAATCTGGGGTTAGGATGAAGAACAGCAAGGCGAATCATCTTGACCTTTGACCCCTGAGAGGTCTGTCATGTGAAATGGGGTCACATTCTTTTAGTCACGCCTCATCTGTTTGTCACGGCTATATACTGTGTTTATTCCCATCTGTGGCACATCACTATGAGGAAAGTAACGATGAATGTTAAAAAAAAAAAGATACCAAGATACCAAATTCGATGTCTGAGATGGTCTGTTGTTAACCTGTAATTCTGTCTTATTGGCAATCGATTGCTGACAGGTATGAGCGGCCGCCCACCTCAGGTGCTGCTGGGAGTCGTGAGAGCAGTGTGAAGACTGGGAGAGTGTGTGTAATGAGAGTGTGTAGGTCAGGGATCGATGCCGCTGTAATCACAGCTTCGTGCCGCAGAGACAGTCAGAGGAGAGACAGATTTGCCCCATTTCTAAGGACTATTATGGCTCGAGCAGGAACAAACTCCCAGTCTCTGGTTGGCGGAACAAAGCACCGTTTTATAATTACATCAGAGAAGAAACGAAAGGGGAAAACACACTTTCCTCAATCCTTTCCTTGTGTGATGACTAAGTAAACATGAACAGCAGGTCTAATTTGTTTAAACTGCACTGCACTAATGTGACGACCATGGTTGGAGTGTGTTACCCATGACAACCTAGAAAATGAATGGATGGATGGAGGTGAAACTCGAAAAATTTGATTATATATATAGACTCATTACATGCAAAGTGAGATATTTCAAGCCTTTATTTGTTATTATTGTGATGATTATGGGTTACAGCATATAAAAACCCCAAATTCAAAAATTAGAATACTGTGAATAGTTTTTCATAGCTGTAGGTCAGAAACATCAAAATTATAACCAATAAAGGCTTGAAATATATCACTTTTCATGTAATGAGTCTATATAATATATTAGTTTCACATTTTCGAGTTTCACCTCCATCCATCCATCTTTCTTTCTAGGTTGTACCGGTAATGAGTCTGAATATAATATCAATATAATATATTAGTTTCACATTTTCAGATAAATAGATAGACAGATAGATAGATAGATAGATAGATAGATAGATAGATAGATAGATAGATAGATAGATAGATAGATAGATAGATAGATAGATATGCAGACAGACAGACAGACAGACAGACTGATAGATAGATAGATAGATAGATAGATAGATAGATAGATAGATAGATAGATAGATAGATAGATAGATAGATAGATAGATAGATAGATAGATAGATAGATAGATAGATAGATAGATATGCAGACAGACAGACAGACTGATAGATAGATAGACAGACAGACAGACAGACAGACAGACAGATAGATAGATAGATAGATAGATAGAGCGACAGACAAACAGACAGACAGACAGACAGACAGACAGACAGACAGACAGACAGACAGACAGACAGACAGATAGATAGATAGATAGATAGATAGATAGATAGATAGATAGATAGATAGATAGATAGATAGATAGATAGATAGATAGATAGATAGATAGATAGATAGATAGATAGATAGAGCAACAGACAGACAGACAGACAGACAGACAGACAGACAGATAGATAGATAGATAGATAGATAGATAGATAGATAGATAGATAGATAGATAGATAGATAGATAGATAGATAGATAGATAGATAGATAGATAGATAGATAGATAGATAGATAGATAGATAGAGCGACGGACGGACAGACAGACAGACAGACAGACAGACAGACAGACAGACAGACAGACAGACAGACAGACAGACAGACAGACAGACAGATAGATAGATAGATAGATAGATAGATAGATAGATAGATAGATAGATAGATAGATAGATAGATAGATAGATAGAGCGACGGACGGACAGACAGACAGACAGACAGACAGACAGACAGACAGACAGACAGACAGACAGACAGACAGACAGACAGACAGACAGACAGACAGACAGACAGACAGATAGATAGATAGATAGATAGATAGATAGATAGATAGATAGATAGATAGATAGATAGATAGATAGATAGATAGATAGATAGATAGATAGATAGACAGACAGACAGATCAGCAGGTGTGAGGGTGGTCCATCAAGCTCTGATAGGCGTCTGTCACGCTTGTCAATCACTCTCGGTTTGATCTCCACCTCTTTAACCTCACATTTACTGAGTGCTTGAATGTGTCTTTGACCCACAGACTGATTGCTGACCCACGGGCCCTCTCGAACCGTCTTCATTCAGCAGTCACCACCTGTCACTCACTCTTTTGCCCCACCCCTGACAGAATAGAAGTAAAAGTGCCTTCCAAATCTCTTTGTGCTTTTGTCAAGGACGCTCTGGGTCCCTCCGAGACTCACTGCTGGAAAACAGCAACAAAGCAAATACGTTTTATCTATTTATCACTCAAATTTAGACAAAACAGCAGCTCACACTTAACACAACACAGCCACTGCAGACAATACTGTTTCTTCTCAATATTGTCGGAGGTTTAGCGAAAAAGGAAAAACATATTTCAGTTAAAATAAAATAAAATAAAATGTTGTAAATCTTGATTGATAAAATTATAGTTTGAAAATATTAATTATGGCATTTTACATATAAATCAAAACAAAAGTATGAATTATGTTTGGTCAAACTTCAAAGCAAATATCTGGGGACAAATTTCAAAAACAAAACAGTTTTAAAAAAATCAATAAATAGTTAATTTAATAAAAAACATAAGATAATTTAACTCTAACTTTAACTTCAAAAATAAGTTGAAAACAAAAAAGAAGCAAAACAAAACAGTTATTGATAAAATAAAATGTTGTAAAGCTTATGCTGTTTTGTGAGCTGCTGTTTTGACCCACGTAAATATAACTTATTAATTGCTTTGTTTTGCAGTTTTCCAGCAGTGGGTCAACCATTTAATAAAAAACATGAATATACAGTTTGGTCAAATACAGCAAACTTCTGGGGACAAAATTTGCCCTTAAAGTATAGCAACGTAAACCCACACACAGAAGCCACATCCGACCAGATTATCAGTGTACACTTTACAGAAGTTAACTGAGATCTGGCCAAGCATGAACTCATTCAAATGCTGTCATTATTCCTGTTTGCACCCCACACACACACACACACACACACACACACACTAATTAAGTTACCCCTGATCCCATGAAGGCCTTTCTCCTCCTTAGTGCCACTGATTCAATAAGACTCTTCTTTGACTTCCCTATCGCCTCGGCTAGGTTTCAACATCAAATCCCAAGTGCTGACACACACACACACACACCAGGGCTACGGCACGGCTACTAAACTACATTGGGCACGGTTTCTTTGTCCTCAACATCATTTAATTGATAAATGAGCGAGACGAGCATTGTGTGTGCAGCTGACAGTGGGCTTTTTGTAATGTAATGACATCGTAGTGCTTGAGGTGTACACAGGGACATCTGCCTGCAGTCTGGCTTCAGAGAGGGGCATTATGGGAAGGTTAGCCAGGGCAAGCCTGAGTGAGCAGTCACAATGATGGATTCAGGAATGGCAAGTGTAACATTTGCATTCATTTGAATTGATACAGCTCCGACAGCCGGACCTTGAGCGAGCGTTAGCCACTTTAACAGTCGTCTGTGTCACAAATCTGGTTGCTAGGGCATTGAGGGTGGTCACTAAGGATTTTTAAAGGGATGGTTTACACGAAAAAATAAGAATTGTCATCATTTATTCACCCTCATGTTATTTCAAAACACACACGTTAACATCAAACCACACAAACATAGAGACATGCACACAAAATCAGCTCAATTATTGGCTGCAACTAATGCAACCACACAAGTTCACACATTACTATGAAAACAAACACATTATCTACAACTTTATACCGCACACACACTTTAAAACCACCACACACACTCATGCCGATGTGCACATACAGATGTTTTCTCCATTCAGTCGGTCTGTGGTCGCTGGGAATGAAAGACACTTGTGCATGTGGGAAACAGAGTATTGGTTAACCCTTAGAGGTTTCAGCGATTTAAACTGAACCCACAAATATACCTCACTCACCTACAGCTGCTTTTACTGCCTTTTAATCTCTCTTTGACCAAAGTAGAAGTATTTAAGATACTATTATCTATTACTATTTGACAGAAGAATTATCTATTGTAAAAAAAAAAAAAATCATAAATTGTATAATAAAAATAGAAAAATAAACATTTAACAAAACAAAAAAATAATAAATAAATTAAAAATAATAAAAAACAAAACATAAAATAAAACAAAAAAATTAAAAATTAAAAAATAAATAAATAAATAAAATAAAAATCTTTAGCATGATTATATTATGGATTTTAATATCTCTTTGACCAAAGCAGAAGTATTCAGTATGAAGTATTCAGTATCTATTACTATTTGACAGAAGAATTATCTATTGCAAAATAAATATAATAATTTTATAATGAAAATAGAAAAAAAAAATCATTTAACAAAACAAAAAAACAAATGAATAAATAAATAAATTGAAAATAATAAAATAAACAAAACAAAACATAAAATAAAATAAAAAATAAACAATAAAATAAAATAAAATAAAGTAAAACAAAATAAAATAAAATAAAAATGTTTAGCATGATTCTATTATAGATTTTGTTTTTGATTGATGCAGACATGTGAGTGCTAGCGCTGCTATACGTACTTGATTTGAGGGCAGATGTGGTGACCTCAATCTCGCTGCCCAGGTAGGGCTGTAGGACGCTGAGCTCGGGTTCAGAGTGGTCAGGGCTGGAGACACCCGACCCCACACTCCCCTCGGGACTCACCATCGCCCTCTCCTGGACCTCCATCTTCTCGTACACAGCCTTCAGCTGAGGACAGACAAGAAGAAACTTGACTAACTAACAAACAAACAAGACACACAGCTGAAAATATATATACAAACAATACATTTTACAAGGGCATCAACAGAGACACACAATGTTGAAAACAAAGAGGTTCTAGTATACTATGTGTGCATCGATCAAACAGTTTTCCTTGTTTGTTTTGTACAAAATCCATACCATTAATCATGCACAACTGGAATTACAGCATTTGACTGCTAATATTGAATTTCTCATCTTTCTTCAAGCTCATAAAGTTCAAATATGCAAAAGGTGTTCTTTGGAAGGTAGAGAGGATGATTTGTGTCTGATACTGTGTCATGATCCAATACTGATATTTCATTCTCACTCAGAGCAAAGCCCTGAATGGAAAAACTAGCTAATGTCACTAACAGATGCTTCAAAAATGACAGTAAATGTAAGACTGCAAAGAATACAGTATGGAAACGTGTGAATGTGAAATTCCTAAGAGCAAAATGAGTTATTGTGGCCCCAAAATATATTTGGACACGTCAGTCACACATAAAAATCATCTGAATGTAATATATCATATTAGACGACAACAGATATCAAGTCAAACACTCAGTAACAGCCATGCTACATTGTTGTCACTGTTTTAACTCAAAAGAGTGTCCAGTTATTATCTCAAATATTAAAATAAGCTTTAAAGCTTGATTTCAAATAATGTTATAAATGAAAATGAAATATTTTTCACAAAAGTACTGCAGACATACTTTTAAAAATATATTTATTTATTATTTAACTATCTTATTTATTATCTAACTAACCTTAAATATATGAATACATTAAACAAAAATAAAAACATTTAAAATTGCATTAAACATTATAAAAATATTTATCAATTCACATTCATATATTTAGCATGTCTTGATGTTGGCAGTCCAATTGTTTTATTTTATTTTATTTATTTTGTTTTATTTTATTTTATTTTCTTTTGTTTTATTTGATTTTGTTTTATTTTATTTTATTTATTTTGTTTTATTTTTTTAATTTTTATATATATTTTTTTGTTATGTTTTGTTTTATTTGATTTTGTTTTATTTTAATTTATTTAGTTTTGTTTTATTGTTGTTTTTTTCGTTTATTTTATTATTTTTAATTAATTTATTTATTTTTTCATTTGTGTTTTTTTTGTTTTGTTAAATGATTTTTTTATTCCATTTTTTTAAGTTTGTATTTTTGTAATTTTTGTATTTTTTACTGTTCACATGTTGGCAAATATAGGGAATCCCGTTATTTCATGCATTCAGAATCTTATCAAACAGTGCACATTATGCATACTGCAAATATATTGCAAGGAATAGTAATATGCTATTCAGAAAATACACACCCACGCACTTATTATCTCTTGTTGAGAGATGCTATTATTCATGCAGGCGTCTAAAAATACTAATTACAGACAAATTAATGTACACAACCATCAGGCAATAATTAGACACATTACACAGGCAACCATACTTTAATTGTCTATAGATCAGACTGTAAAGGCTGAGAGCTTGTGTGTGTGTTCGGTTGAGTATAGCATACAGCGTCTTTCCCAAACCATATTATAAGCACGGCGGGCAGTGTGATAAACAAATATAAAATTAAATTAAAAAACAAAATCTGAGCCGACAGGTGTCTGTGTTTGTGAGCACGTGCGTTAAGCATCAATGGTCAAATTAGATGTGACAAGGGAATCAGAAGCTGTCAAACATAATGTCACGGTAGCGTTATGAGCCGAGAGGAGGTTGACGGTAATGAGAGAGAGTATACGCGCGCGCCCGCCGTGGACTCTGACCGTCTCGGATTGGCACGTTGACAAGCGGCCATAAAGCCGCGGCGGTTGATGAATTCATTCGCCAGGCACTAATGAATTAGCACTTCCCTTCTTTGCCCGCGCTCGCCTTTCCAATCACGTCAAAGACCTGGCAGAGGAAACAATGGCTTAATGAAAGACAAGGAGCATCAACGGCGAGCGCGGAGGAGGGTGAGAACTAAGGGAGCTCCATATGAAGTCATCTGCATCCGTAACTGTTTTTCAGGAAAACAATAACCAGTGACACGCAACAGGAAGACGCATCATCAATCACAGGGAAATATTGCGCCGCGCTCCCCGAGCCCGGGCCGCGTGATTCGATGGGCTGACGTTTGTCGTGCTAAAAAATAAACCAAAATCGTCCAGATCAGATGGCAAAAGTGAGAGAGAGAGGGAAAAGTAATCTCAGGGAATCACTTCCTCACGGGTTTGATAGATGGCCGTCTCTCTCTCTGGTTCTTCCTCTAAGTGCTTCATACCTGATCAAACTCTATTCCTGGGCCTGAAGCGTGCGAGCGGACATATTCATCACCGCAGCTGTGTGTGCCGTATACACACTGCACATTATTCCTGAAACATCGTAGTGTGACTCACTGAAAAGAGCACATGTCAATTCCAGCTAATCAGAGACCAGCAAACTGGACATCAAACAATGAAAACTCCTTCCTTCATAACAGTAGCTGGGCAATAAACTGCCTAATGCTTTAAAACGCCACTGGAATATTATTAATGATGGATGGCAGGTCACAGATGTCCTCGTGAGGGCCGTAACATAAACACACTCTCAGCTTTTAGAAAAATAATCATTTTAAAACAGTTACTGTGAGTTGTGGGTCAAAATTGTGGCATACAAAATCTCTTTGTGGCATTTATATATAATAAATTGTGAGATAACCAGTCAAAACTGTCTAATAAATTCTCATTGTGTCCTATACAGTCACAATTGAGATATTAAAGGGGTGGTTGATTGCGATTTCACCTTTTTCATTTAAATAGTGTGTAATGTTGCTGTTGGTGCATGAACAGTATCTGCAAAGTCGCATCTTTTAAAAATCAGGAAGTTTAATGCCTACAAAAACGACTCAAATGGGACAACAACGGGTTTTATATGTAACTAACACAAACATTTGCATCAACCCTCCCTCCGGAATATGCAAAAAAAGGGCTTGGCCATATTTCTACGGCTCATCGAGTGTGTTATTTTCATCCTGCTGTCAGGTCTTCTGTGTTCAGGCTTCCCACGGACGTTGTAGTTCATCAACAATGGATACAATTTATACTATAAGTGCGCGGCAAAACACAGGTGTTTCATCAACGACAGGCGTTTTTATGCTCTAGGTATTCAGTTTTATTGTTATATTTTTTTTATTGGTTACAGAAAGAACACATAACTTTTACTACGCCAACATGGCAACTTTTTTCTACTTTTTAAATACATTTTATACACTCTAAAAAAATGATCCAAATATTGTTCCAAATATGGACAAACCCAAATGTTGGGTTAAAAATACAGTGAAACTTGAAGGTGGGTTAAAATTTGAAATTACATTTTTAACCCAACATTTGGTATTGACCATATTTTACCCAAATGTAGCTTAAAGCAACTCAATATTGTGTATAGAGTATATTTTTACCATTTTACCCAGACCCAATGTCATGATATGATAATCTACGCTCTAAAAAAACTGGATTGTTTTAACCCAAATTTGGGTCAAATATGGACAAACCCAAATGTTGGGTTAAAAATGAGAATTCAAATTTTAACCCAATGGCTGAGTTTGTCCATATTTGACCCAAAAAATGGGTTAAAAGAACCTAGAATTTTTAGAGTGTAAGGAATAATGGACGACAGGCCATTAAATTATTAAAAAAACAATGCACACCCGAGATGGTAATGCGGTCACGACGCGAAGCGGAGAATAAGAATAAAAAAATCGTACTTAGTGTTACTTTAAATATTGGTCTTTTTGCGGTTTAACATTCACACACTCTAAAAAATGCTGAGTTGTTTCTACCCAAATTTGGGTCAAATATGGACAAACCCAAATGTTGGGTTAAAGAAAGTAATATAAAATTTTAACCCAACTTCAACTTTCACTTTCAGCTGTAAATTTTTTATTACATTTATAACCCAACATTTGGGTTTGTCCATATTTGACCCACATTTGGGTTGAAACAACCCAGCATTTTTTAGAGTCCGTACACAAGTCCACACCATAATTTATTCTTGAAATTTTTTGCCAAATTCCTTGACGCCCCGCAGAATACCGTAAATTCCATTTTTATAGCTGGATTTTATGACTGTCAGTGTTTTTGCATCGCAGAAATCATTGAGCCTACTTTATATCACTTTCCTAATTTTCACACCCGTTCCCTGTATAGTCTTCCATCTTCTCAATCTCTCCCCTTTCTCACTCTAGATGAAAAATAAACCTGGCAAAAAGTCTCTCTAAATCTCCTGCCGTGATCGCCCACGGAGGGGCATCGACATCAATCACACCCATGTGACCTGCGCTGAGGCCTTCACAAACAGACCTTCGGCACACACACACACACACACACACACAGGTAAAATCCTTGGAATGTGATTTCAGGTGATGCTGTGCAAACAAGTCTGGAATTACAGGGATTAAGAAGGAGACCAGACTAATCTGAGACCGGCCCCCATGTGTGTGCTGAACATCGGCTCCAGATGTGTGAGATTACCTCTCGAAAAGAAACACCTGAACCGCAGTATTGGATAACACACACACACACACATATATATATTCGAACGCTCAAGTGTTCATTACACACATAGTTTAAGGGTTTTTTTATGTCTTTAATGTCTACTAATTCTAATATGTTATTGGTGGTGTTTACTGAGGCAAAAAGTCAAGTTGCACTCACATTTTCTAAATAAAATGATACATCTAATTGTGTTGTTATAAATTGTTCAATTATAAATAAAAAATTGTAAATAAACATGTTTTAAAAGAATACTGTAGTAGAGAAACATTATTAGAAAAAGTATTCTGAAATAAACAAATAAATACATACATAAATGCAAATAAAAACTAAATGCATGAATGAATGCATAATGTGTTCACATACACACATTTTCTTAGATGTAATCATATTAAAACAAAATCATATTAGTTCAAAGCTGATAGACAAATGTGACTCACTA